CTGACATCAGTCCGAACAACAAACACAATTCTGCTGTTTCTCTCATAACTGCCTGAAATTATATTAGGTGAAGCTCACAGCAGGAGGGAAGGATGGGGGGTCTTTCCACAGAATATAAGCTTCTTCTAATTGTAACAAAACATCTATAACTATAAAAAGATTCTAACAAAATCAACACAACTTTTTGTGTTTGAGAATTTGATGTTTAAAAAGAGACAACTTGATCTTTATTTTATTGCCTTTGATAAATAATCCACATTCAATTTAATATCTCACCTTTTTATATTATGTACTGATTTAGATCTGCTTTTACTGTTAAGCACTTTCTGGTTTTTAACTGTAAAAAGTGCTACAGAAAGAAACCTATTCTTACTTTCCGAAAAAGATATTCAGAAAAAGCAAAAAAGTAAATATATATATTTTTTTTTTTTTTCCAAAATATGCCCCAAAATATGTCTAAGAAATTAATTACATCAACATTGAAGGGATGTCAAAAAAGTTCATGCTCAATAATCCAGGTGTACAATCCAACAATTTTCAGTCAGGTCATCTGGAAGGGATGTGTTTAAAATTGTGGAACATTTACTTTAAATTTGTCTGGAAGCAAACTGAAACAGACAACCTGCCTTAAATTCAATATTTAAAACTCTTTAAGAGAGTTTAATATTTTTTTCTTACTATAATTAATATATCTTATGATAATTCCTTTTATAATGGACTTTTTCCTCCTGTAGTTCAACCATCAATATAACACATTTCTTTAAATGGAAAAGGATGAAACATGAATCTTGAGTAAACTTTAGAATAAATTTGGGACAAAAAGTAAAAGCAGGACACGACATGATGATGATGATGGTGATGAGCACAGCCATCAGCTTATTACACTTCCTGACTCATGCAGCTTGGACACTCATTTATTTCTTCTAATCTATTTTTTTTTCACACACGTGGAGCTTCAAGAGAACTGAAGCCAGCATTACACCAGCAGTCCAACACCCACGGCAGGTTATCCCTTCACACTTCGAGAACCACCCAGATCCTCCCACAGTCCCTGGAGAGAGCCTGAGGGGAGGGAGGGAGGAAAGGAGGGACGCCTGTTCCTGTGTGCACATGTTCATGTCTATGAGCGTGTGTATTTGTGGTAAATCAATCAATCAATCAATCAAGTTTATTTGTAATTGTAGCACATTTCAGCAACAAGGCAGTTCAACGTGATTTACATTAGAAAAACACAAAATTAAAAGTCATAAAAACATACAGTCACCAGTTCAGAAACCAGTAACAAACATTACATTTTGTCGAGTGCCATCAAATATTTTTGCATTAGTTTCAGCTGAGTTTAAAAAAAATATATATTTTAAAAAAAAACACGCCACGTGGACATCTAACGACTTTAATCGCTCGCGCGCTAATTGAATCAAATGTAACTATCAGGGTTTGATTGACACCATCAGACGTTTGAAGTGTAGTGTTTGTGATGATGGCTGATGATCCACGCGCTCTGCGCTCGCGCACCTACCCCATTGATCCTCTTTCCGGTACCTTTTGGCTGTGCGTAGTTTGCTCTTCGTTATCATGTGTCTCTGTCTCCCCTCCCGTCCTCTTCAGATTCCCTCCCCCCCTCCCTCCCCTGTTCTCTGCGCGTTGACATACTCTCTCTCGCACTTCCATGCGGGCGCGCGCGCGCGTCTCCTCCGCACACACACTCCCTCGTGCCCCTCCCTCTCCCGTCGTCTCATTCACTCCGCTGCTCCATCCACGCACTGATTCGGAGCCGGGAGGGGGGCGGGGTGGGATATAAACCTCCGCGTGGAGGCCACGAGCTACACTCAGACTGGACCCACTTGCAGTGCAAAGACCACAAGCAAGAAGACTCCGAAGCCGGGAGTAGAAGTACCAACACTTTATTCTGGAGCTTAGAGAGCTTGTTTTTTCACGGACTGTCCGCTGGAGCTCCTGATCCACAACCAATTTGTCGCTTTGCTATCCGCCAGTTTCCTCTGGCAGTAGCAGCCAAACAGAGTTGGTAGTAAACTCTTTGGAGTTTGGTTAGAGTCGCTACGTTTTTTCTTTGCTTGTGAGAGTGGACTGCACTGAAACTTGGGATCGACCCGGGAGAAGGTGAGAGACAGAGGAGGGGTCGAGGTCCGCACCTGGCGCGTCCTGTCAGCGGTTTCAAACCAACGAAACTGCGAGAGGTTCTTGGCCAGACGCGCAGATCTGAAGACTTTGAGTCGAGTCAGACTTTGAGCCCACAACTCAGCAGCTGCTAGCCCCCAGTCGGTTAGAGAGCCACTGACGAGACGTCAAAGAAGACTTTTCAAGGTAAGAAGTGACTTTTCTGCTGGATGAGGATGAGGATGAGGATGAAGATGAGGATGCTGAGCTGTTGTAAAAAGTTGTGTCGCTGTCCGTGGTGCTGAAACTCATTCCTCTGTCTTTGATGGAGATTTCAGGCGCTGCTCAGCTCCTGCTTTGCTACAAAATGTTTGTTCCAATGTAGATCTGTGTCTGAAAGTTGTCTCTGATGTGTGCTCCTGCTGCAGGAGTGTTCTTGTGTTCTTGTCATGCTGCTGCGCTACACCAAGTTGAACAGAGGCAACAGGCTGCTGCGCACAACTTTCATACCTTTTAATATTTAAACTGTAAGAGAGATTTGAGTGTGATTTGCAAAGACTCATAGTGCCTATATGTAATGCAAAACAGATCATTTGGATGGAAGGAAGAAAAAACTTCCCACCACAAACACAAAAAACTGGTTTATTTCACTTTAAGAGAGAACATGCAGCTCCACCACTTTAGTCATCACCTATTTGAGAATTTATCTTTAAGGAACGATTTGTGTTGCATTTCTGTTCTGCTTTGACGCAAGTTTGAGTTTGTTGCACTGACAGCAGCAAAGACTGACGATCTGCTGCAAAAGTTGCATATCTCACGTTTGCTTCAGCAACATTCGATCAGCTTGCAAACAGAAATGTGAAATTGAGAAAGACTCATCGTCATCTACACAAATGCAAACTCTAATGGTCATCTTAAAGACTTTTGCATAAATATAAGTCACACCAGAGCAGCAGACCCGAAGCTAAAAGCTTTCAGTGTGTAGTCCAAGTAATTGGTTTGCCTCATATTGGGAAATTCATCTTTACTTCAGCTTATTTCATAAATCTTTTCACAAATTTCTGCTTCCGAACACACTAAAATCACTTAATCAGCTGCACGCATTTATCAGCAGTCACATCTCTGCAAGTGCCTGCACATTTTCTGTTTCCTCACTACGCAGCGTGGCTTTTTCTTGTTTGTGTTGAGGCAAGCAAATCTCTGCACTTCAGCATAAACACAAAACGTGTCACAGATGGCAAACACGGAGTGTTTCTCCCACTGCTCTGCAGAAAAATAAGCCCTGTCTCCATAACAACAAACTCCTTGCTCTTTACGCTGCCCACTGTGCAAAAAGAATGGAGGGGGAAAGACGGCATTGATGACAGCAAATGGACAAGCAGGAAGAAGAGGGGGACAGACAGGTTGGGTGGGGAGTGAGACAGTGTATAGAAAGTTCTCCTGCCACAGCTGGACCTTTTCCTTTCACACTGCTCATCATTAGATGCCCATTCATGGCACTTCCGGGTGTCGAGGGGCGGGAGAGAGGCAGCCAGTGACACAAAGCAGAGGTCTTTGCTGCATTGCTCACAGAGTGATGGGAGGAGAAGTTGGAGGGAGGCAGGGAGGGAGAGGAGTGAGAAACATAATTATGAGTTATCTGCACAAAAAGTGCAGGTGCTTCTCACAGCGACTGCCGGTGCAGGCATCAGTTGTGCTAACATCATGGTGATTGATCACTCATTCAAGCTTTTTACTGCAGATTCTGAAATAAAATTAAAAACTCCCTTTAAAAAGGATGTCACCTCATGCCTGATATGCCTCATATATTGTATTTTCCAAAGTTTGCTTGGTTGGTTCCACTAAATAAGCGTTGACGAATACAAGATATGAGCAGGAAAACATGATGAAGCAGAAATCAAACTGTGATTGCAGGCGGAAGGTGTTGCTGAGCAACAACTTCTCTCTTTGGTACCACAGAAGTGTCTATTCTCTGTGACCGTTCAGCTGAACGCAGAGATTTAGACAGAGGCTGTGCAAAAGTCTTTCACTTGATGGAAGGAGTGTTTACTGGCAAAATGTTGGAGACGCTTTATTGTGTGCTAGACAGATTATTTGCGGATTAGCAGCAGAGAAAAAGGTGAGGGAGAAAAAACTTGTTGCATAAATAGTTTCTGCAGAAATGTAACAAGTTTTAATGTTTGTGCAAACTTCTGCGTTAACATGTATGCATGCACATAAATATACAAAATAGATTTTTGCATCATTTCAATTTGTGCCCTGGTATGTAATGCAGAAAATGTCCCCAAAGCAATTTGTAGCATACCACTGCAGGGTATGTAATCATCCCTCACCATGGACGCAGATGAACAATTTTTCCTGTTTACTGCTTAATAAGAGGAGTGCATTGCACACATAATGGCACTACTAAGCGTCTGCGTTGCCACTGGCGAAGCTCGTACGGACGTCAGACTGACGCACACAGTTAGGTGTGTGGGAGGAAAGAGCAAAAGCTTGGAGATGCCAGCTTGCTGTGAAGGACTGTAATTGCTCTGCCACAGCAATTATTTCCTGGGGAACAGAGCCTTTTAGATCACTGAACGCATCCTGAAGCACTGCCACGCAGATCTGAGGCTGATCATTGATGCACGTATATATCTGCTAAACAATAGGTCTAATTAAAATGCATCTCATGCATATTATTCAAAATACATGCACTGTCTTTGGCAAAGACCCTACTAGCTGATATCTGATGCACACTAACAGATTTCCTTTCCCATGTTTTATCTTTCCTACAGATCCTTCTTTGTGATTGGCATGACAAAACATCTGATGTGTTAAAACAATCTTCAGAGGGGTTGCGAAGATAATCAAGAGATCTGAAACAAGTGCAGTAACTTGCAACAAAGAAACAAAAGAAACAACCTTATTGAGCCAGTAACGCCATCTTCTATCTCAGCCGACCCAATGGCGTGGTCAGCTCTTACCGGCCCCTGCGTGGCCCTCGTCCTGCTCTTCTTCGGTTTGACTTCCTGCACTCCCTCTGGCCCAGCCTCCGCCACCTGTGCCACCTTGGAGCAGAGCCGCTTTTTCGGCGTGTTCTCCTCCACGACCACCCTGCACTCGTCGCCTTGCTCCTGGACCCTTCAGAATCCCGATCCTCGCCGCTACACGGTCTACATGAAGATCACCAAGCCCACCGACTCCTGCGTGCCCCGCCAGATCAAGACCTTCCAGTTCGACTCCTTCATCGAGACCTCTCGCACCTACCTGGGTATGGAGAGCTTCGACGAGGTGGTCAGACTGTGCGACGCGTCAACCACCGTCACCTACCTAGAGTCCAGCAAGCAATTCCTGCAGATCCGCAAGGCGGCCTCATCCAACGCCCTGGAGACCGTGGAGGGAGATCACAGTGTCAGCGAGTTCAAGGCTGAGTTTCTGGTCGTGGGGAAGAGGAACCCAAGCATGCCTGCCTGCCAGATGCTGTGCCAGTGGTTGGAGAAATGTCTGTCAAGCAGCACCCACGATTATCCCTGTGGCATCATGAACACCCCCTGCCAGTGTTGGGAGGCCCCAAAGAGGAAGCCAGGAAGCTGCTACAGAGGTGGTGTCTACGTTGAGAAATGCTCTCCTGTCCCCAAAGACAACGGACGCGACGCTGAGATTATCAGTGAGTTTTCAACCTGTATATTTAAAAAGCAAACTTTTTTATAAGAAAGTCAAACAGAAAGTTCAGAGGGTTACATAAACACCAACAAACAAAAGCAGTTTACCGTGTCGTAATCTCGTTTAGTGGAGTAAATGGGTCATGTTTTCCAAGATCACACATCTCTGCAGGCTGTCTGCACACCTAACAGGGTTTAGTGTGTCTTGGTAGCAGCTGAGGGTAATGATCCGTGTCTGCAGAGGAGAGGATCCACGCAGCACCTCCACAAAGTAATGAGAAGTTAATCAAAGTTGTTAGACATGTTGGCCAGTGCACCTTCAGGCTTTAAGTGGCCTCACCTGCTGAAGCTCACACGTCTTGGCTCTCTGTTTTGTTGAGCTTGATGCTCGGCAAAGAGCACTGGGATGGAGAGGGTGTTTGTGTTCGATCTGGGAGGAGGCAGAAAGGAACACAAAGACCTCACATTCAGCTGGCTGCAGAGATCGAAGCGCTGTACTCGTGGTCGTCATAGCAACATGCCAGCCAGCCTAAAGCACACAAACATACCGTTCTGCTGTGTTTCACATAGGGTGCACAAAAGCAAACAATTTCAAATCAAACCCCTGTCAACCTGAGGGTTCACCAAAGGAATAAAAACATCCTTGTTTGTTTTTTGCATGAAAAGAAAACTTCACGTCCTGTTCTTGAGAATAAAAACACTTGCTGAATTGAGCTTGTGTGCACATATTTGCACAAAAAGACACCAATAATGTTTCCAGTTCGAATTTCTTTCAGCTCTGGCGTTTTCCGGCCTTGCTCAAAATGTCTCCTCTTGTCGTTTCTCCCCACAGAGGGCTGGGCCGGTTGGGGCCGCTGGTCCGTGTGCAGCCAGGAATGTGGCGGCGGAGTCCAGGTGCGCAGCCGATCCTGCCAGCCCGAGGATGTTGTGTGTGAGGGAACAGTGGAGGAAGGACGTGCATGCAACCCTCAGCCCTGCATTGGTAAGCCCCCCCATCCCCCACCTGTAATTAAGCCATGAAATTAGAAACAGGCCTGCAGGTGGCTTTAATGGAATAACTATAATTTTCACATTCTCTCTCAGGCAAGGAGCGAAACAGGAGCCAAGGTCTGCGTGCAATTATTGGTCTGAAGAGAGACAACGCTGAAGACTCCATCCTTGGAGCTGTTGCCCCCCAAACAGGTGAGCAAACACCTGTGATGTCAGCTTTAATTAAAAACTATTCAGTAGACTAACATTCTTATAGTCTTAGTGACTCCTAACACCCTTTTGATTGGACTTTTTCTCCAAAGATGATAAGACAGATGAGTGGGCCCAGTGGAGCGCATGCTCAGTTACCTGTGGGGAGGGCTGGCAGAGCCGTACACGTGTCTGTGCCACGTCTTCCTTCACCACCCAGTGCACCGGATCCCTGCGTGAGAACCGGCCTTGCAACAACACTGTCGTTTGCCCTGGTGAGTGTTCTGTAAAGTGAGCGTAACAAAAGGGACGGGAAAGACATGCGAAGAACACAAAGTCTTTTCAAGTGCACAATACAGGCAAAGCCATTATGTCTCGATAATTTCCCTTATATAGCACCACAAAGGAAAAATAGATAAGTTGAAGCTTTTTTTTTTAGCCTTCACACACTGAGATTTGAAATGTGGAAAAATAAAACAGCAGTAAAAAGTTATAAAAATTCCTCACAGGCATCCTGAATCTTAAAATTCCCCAAACGTTTGTTTACATTGTTTAAATAATCTCAATGCCCCTCTTTGTGTTGCCTGTGTGCAGTGGATGGTGCCTGGGACGAGTGGACCCCCTGGAGTTTGTGCTCATCCACATGTGGCCGTGGTTATCGTGACCGCACACGCACATGCAAGGAGCCCCAGAACGGAGGAGAGCCCTGCCGCGGCCCCATAAGACAAACCAAGTTCTGCAACATCGCTGTCTGCCCAGGTGAGTCAGAACAGTTTTTATTGCAGGTTTTAGGTCAACGCAAGAGAAAAATGCACTTTTTTTGCAAACTAGACCAGTATTTAAAACTCCATAGATGCAGACTACTTAACCCTTCATCATTTATGAGAGAATTTATTAATTAAATCACCTAATTGTATCACCATCATAACAGCAGCAGTGGCAGGTTGCAATTGCATCTGACTCACTAGAATGAAAGTGCCTGGTCGTATTAGTCAGTGGCTTTATAACAGCTGCCTGTGACTCATGCTGTGTTCGTGGTCACTCAGCTCAGAAGTTCTCACTTTTTTTGTGCCTCCTACTCATGTGCAAACATTTCTGATTTTGAAATCACAGTTTCATTACACTTTTTTCCTCACTTTACCCTTATCAGATTTTATTGCTGTATGCCTTTATTTCAAGCGTTTCATTTTATCTTTCTGAATTTGGTCCAGTTGCAGTTGCATAATATCACCAGCAGGTGGCTCTGTTCACCACATGAGAAGAGGCAGTCTTTATTGGAAAGATGATAATTTATTTCATTTGAACATGAAAGGGTTGGGGAAATTAAAGATGTTATTAAATCCAATCTTGGCAGTAATAGAGAATTTTACTCGAGCCACCTATTTATAAAATCATAAACTTTTGCTCTTTTTAAAACAATCTAGCAGTGAAGGCAAATACATTTAAATTGCCTTTCCATTTATATTTTTTAATATCTCTAGACTTTAGCAGTGTGTTAATATGCCTTATATTACTTTGGTTTTGATTAAAAGAACAAATATGTTTATATTTTTTATTATGACATCTTAGCTAATTAAAATGCACCAATGGTCATAAAGTTTTGAACCTGATTCAAGTTTTAACATAGTTGATTATAGAGGTTGTGATGCACATCCAGCCATGGTTAAAGGGCAAATAGCTGAGCTCTAACTTTCCATTTCACTTAAACTCAGCCTAAGTAGGCCATGTGAAATGGCCATAGCATCAGTGAGTTTGTCATGTCTGCAGCCCGAGGGTCTGTCTTATCCTAGCAGAAGTCATAACTCTGGTGTATATGTTCCTCTGCTGCCCTCTAGTGGACGGATCCTGGAATGACTGGTCAGCCTGGACTGCATGCTCTGCTTCTTGCTCCAATGGAACCAGGCAGAGAACAAGGGAGTGCAACGGGCCATCTTACGGGGGCTCTGAGTGCCACGGTGGCTGGAAAGAGACAGCAAACTGCTTCCTGAAAGAATGCCCTGGTAAGAAAATAAAAATGATCCCTCGGTTTAGTTCCCCTCAAGCAATCAAATAGTGCAGGGTTAATGGTGTTGAATATTTCCCATCTGCAGTTAATGGAACCTGGCATTCATGGAGCTCATGGGGCAGCTGCAGTAAGACCTGTGGTGGGGGCATCCAGCAGAGACAGAGAGTCTGTGAGGGGCCTTTCTTTGGAGGAGAATCCTGCCCCGGTGAGACAAAGGAGCAGAAGCGCTGCAATGACAAAAGATGTCCAGGTTAGTGGCTCCAGCGCAATAAATAAGTGAAATCTCGTTAAAAAATACAACCCCGGCATGAAAGCAAACAGGAAGCTCATCCCATCTTACTTTATTCCTTCAGAGCCCCATGAGATCTGCTCTGAGCAGAACACAGGTGATGTTGTGTGGAAGAAGACCCCTGCAGGAGATGTGGCTGCAGTCGCTTGCCCCGCTGACGCCTCAGGTACAGGGACAGCCTGGATTCTGAATGGTCCTGATCAGTACTTTTTACTTTGTCTACAAAGAGTAATCACTTTTCCACATCAACAGGTCTGATTCTGCGTCGCTGCACCCTTGACGCTGTAGGACTGGCCTCCTGGGAGAACCCAACTTACACCAAGTGTGTCTCAAAGAACTACGAGAACATTCAGATGCTGGTACGCCCTGAAAAGATTAAAGTGCTATTCTTTTTAATGTTGTGTACGGTTAAAAGTTCAGATTAACCCTCTCGCCTCTGTATCCACAGTCAAGGGACTACATCTCCAAAGCACAGACGGGGCAAAGTATCGATGGCGTGGCTGAAGTGATTTCACGCTTGAGATTTTCTTCTGATGAAAAATCCAAATACAGCGGCGACCTCTTGGCTGTCATGGAAATCTTGAGGAACACTACTGAGCTGTACAAGGGGACCAGGCTGAGACTGAGCAACGCTGATGTGGAGGTAAGCTCAAACCGTTGCCTGACCATGAGTCTGCACAGATTTAGAAATAAAACCACGGTTTATTATCATCTCTGGTTAATTAAAAAAAATAGCATCTAATCAGGGTATATTTTGTATCTTCTCACCCCTTTGATTTTTTTAATTTTATTTCATAATCTGCAGAACTATGTCCAGACCATCAGCAACTTGCTGAAGGAGGAACATCGTGACAAATGGGAAGAGGCACAACTGGTACGTAATAAGAGGGTGTGAACAGGAGGGTGCACAACAGCAAAAAGGGGGAAAAGTCTTTTTTTAATTTTGTGTGCATTGAACAAATACAAGGAATAAGTGATACAAACTGTTTAAATATCTAAATAGATTCATTTTCTTTAAACTGAACTGAACTTGGTCTTGTTCAGCAACCTGCTGATGCATTTCCACCACACACTAATGACGCTTTTTCACTGTTCCTGCTAAAATTCGTTTTCTAAGACAAGCCTTAAAAAAAAAAAAAGAGTTGGAAAAAAGAGAAAACTCCCACAGTAGTGAACACGCACGCATTTGTGCACGAACTGGAGTTACCAAGGCCACAGCACCTCTGAATCAGGGAAAATCACTACTCCCACTCTGCAATCTGTGAGTCTCCATGCCATCCTACATTCTGATGGCTGAAGCACAGACAGAACATCACATGCAAGTGCACACCTTGCGCCCACATCGCTGCAGTTCTGCGTCAGACACACGCAAGTCAGGCAGCCCTCCCTTTCTCTGCGAAAGAGACAGAACAGAAAAAAAAAACTTGAGTATGAATCAACAGCCTGCCCATTTATGGCTGTAAGGAAGTCTGAGGTTGCATAGCAGCAAGAAATGTGTTTTTCTCCTCTTTTTTCAGACCACTGCAGAGTGTTTTAAAAGAATAAATAGCTGGACTTGTGCAGTTTTTGAGATATAAACCATAAATTATTAATTTAAAAAAAACGATGCTACAAATAAACCAGTATTTTTAACTCCATTTGCCCCATTCTTTTCTCTTCCAGATGGGTGCCAACATCAAAGAGTTCCTCCGCCTTGTCGAGGACTTTGTGAACATGATCGGCATGCAAATGAGCGGCTTTCAGGACATCTACGAAGTCACTGAGAATTTAGGTGAGCTCCGACTCCCTCCGCCGAGTCGCTCCCCGCTCACGTCACGTCAGAATGATTTGTCCTTTCTTCAGCCAGAGAGCCCATCAATCTTCATCTGAGTCCGTATGAGCAGCAGCTGAATGCATCAGTTATCATTCTGACACATAGTCCACTCCATGTTCTACTCCTAGGATGTTTTGCAAGTCTATTTGTTATAACAAATGCACCGCACGGCTTTGACACAAACTTATTAATCCGTCAGATTAGAATAATTATCGTCTGTCTCCGTGACGGTGACGTTCTCTCAGATATGCATGGATGAAACTGCGAGTTGAGACAGTTTCTCAACCATTACAGTTTTTTTTTTTTTAAATGCATTTCCAAGTGTTTTTTCTAACTGTCGAACCTCCTTTTCTGCTTCTTAGTCCTGAGCATCCACAAGCGCCCAACGACCACAAGCTCCAACTTCACCTTCCCTGTGAAGGGCTGGAGGGGCATGTTGGACTGGGTCAGGACCTCTGAGGAGAAGATCTCTGTGTCTCGTGACGCTCTGTCCCTCAAACAGTCTGGTAAGCTTAAACAAATGTGACGCTTTTAAGGAGATGAACCACTGTCAGGTTTCAGAGTCTAAGTGGAAACTCTCTTTTTCAGATGGCAGTGATGCTTTTGTGACCGGCATTGTCCTCTACAGAAACCTCGCCTCAATTATGCCTTTCCAGAGGTAATGCAGTTGTTCCTGCTTTCATTGCTATGACACTGCTGCTTGCTCGTGCACGTCTCAATCTGAATCCTGACGTTGCTCTTGTCCTTGTTCCTCCCTGCAGCAACAGCACCTTGCTCAACTCCAAGGTGGTGACAGTAATTGTCAAACCCAGCCCAGATCTTCAGTCATCTCCTGTCGAGATCGAGTTCCCCCATCTCCATAATGTGAGTTTCTAATGATTATGCAAACCAGTGTAGGAAATATCAGCCCCTCCCTGTGGGTGTTTGTGCACCACGGTGCACAGAGCCTGACATTTTCCTTGACATTTGCCGCGACGCTGTGACTTTTACTTGTGGCGGTTGAAACTCGGCAAAGATCACGGCGCAAACCGAATGGTCGCTCGTCGATGATAATGATGACGAGAAAGCAATGATTAAGCTCTGAACTGCTGTTTTTAGTTTCATGAATGTGTTGCAAGAGAGAGGGGGGTGAAAATAATGTGGGCATGTGGCTATAGCAAGCTGTTGCATCTCGCACGTTGGTTAGTGAGGTGTCCCAGCCTACGTGTTTCCCTTTTTTGTAGAGAATCCTCACACTGACATCTCCATCTGCCTCTCCTTTGCAGGGCACAGTCAATGAAACCTGCCTTTCATGGGACGACAGCGAAACGTAAGTGTTTGGTGTTTTTCCTTCTTTCAATTCACACCTGACCATCACTCGTGTGCGTGAATCCGGTGCCACTTCGTTAGTCCTTCCAGTCAGGCATCTGCCACAATTTATGAAGCATTCAGGCCTCCAACGTCCCACTTAGCAGAAGGAGAGCACTTTTTTTTTTACCAGTTATTTTTCCCGTCAATCATTTCACGACAAGGGGGACAAAAGAAAATCACAGCTCGTTCGTGTTGACCCCTCTCTCTCAGCCAGATGCTTCAGTCAGCTGTCAGACGCACTTACAGCAACAAAGACAGACTTGAGACCTGACAACTGCGGCGCCCCACAATGCACCTTCACTTGGCTTCAATCTCAGTTTCCCGAAGCGCTTTAAATAAATCAAATCTTGATGGTTATTTCTAATTAGGTGGCCTGGATCTGTCAGCTCTTATGTCACAATTCCTGCTTTAAAAATCGCTTTTGCATTTTGATAGATTTGCATCTGCAGCAGCTCCTGAAACCTAAACAGTCATGCAAAGCCTGCTTTGAGAGTCCAACGCAGCATTTAAGCATCTCAGAGCGCAGCCAGGCCTGGTTTGATACCATTCATGGGGATTTTGCTTTGCAACTGTCCTCCCATGACACGCTGAACCCGACTGCACCTGCCTTAATGTAAAGGTTCAATCAGACCTGAGGATGCTCCTCCTGTAGCATCTGTTGCAGTACATGATTGTGATGCAGCTTTCTCTAAAAGGCTTATAATCTCTAATTTTGGTTTCATGAAGGAACACGTTTTAGCCCTTGATGTGTTTTTTTGACAAAAAGGTGCTCGTAGAACCTGATTAACTAGTATTAATTATGGCAAACATATTTATTATTCTCATGCACATCAAGATTGGAATTCAAAGATCCACATCAGTCCATCAAACTGCATCAAATTCAGTTTTTCCTCACATACTTAATTCTTATTTAAAACACTAAAACGTTTATATTGGGATTTTGATTGTGCTAATCCATCCAAAAGATCATTATTATCTGGCTTAATTGTGTGTTTTTCATTACATATATCATTTATTTCGTGCATTAATGCATTTTTTTTACCAGATTTGTCAGATCTCTCCCCTCCTAACTCTTCTCTCCCCCCCCCCCCCCCCCCCCCCCTCCTCTCCTTCCCTGTGCAGTTCCTCTCTTCTTGGGTCTTGGTCTACTCGGAGCTGCAGAGCGGTGCCCGTTCATTCATTCAGAACCAAATGCGTGTGTGACAGCCTCTCCACCTTCGCCATTTTAGCGCGCGTCAACTTCGACTCGGTAAGTCATCTCTCCCCCTCACACTGCAGGCTTCATTCTGTTCGGTTTTTTTGACCCCTCCATCCTTGTGCGTGTTGTTTCCTGCGTGTGGATGCGGTGCGGTGAGAACACTGTGTTGTTTTTGTGAGGGCTTTGCAGCAGCGCTCTCTTTGTCTCCGTGCAGGTGCCGCTGCCTGCCTCTAGATTCTTAAAGACCAGCAACATGTTGATGAGCACAAATTGGATTTCTGTTTTCAGATTAATTAGTTTCATCTCGACATGTCTGTTTATGTAAAGGGATTGATCGATTGACGTCTGGCAGCCCATAATTAATTGCGTTACTGCAACCCGACAAATTATTTTTCACAAGAACATTAACATATTTGCATATTATTTATTATTTTAATTTGCTCTAATGAAAATATTTATATTTCTGATTGTGCATCTTATCATGAATATATTAATGAAGATTATTTTTGCAAGATTACGAACGCCTGACGTACCCAAACAAATTATATTATGCATTGTTCTGTTCTTGGCGCAAAAAAGAAAAGAAACGTAATTTTCCCCCTATAGAGCTATGCAGCCTCGGAAGCTGATGGTTGTCCAGTTGCCATGGTAACCACATCTGTAGCGCCAAGTCGGCTGCTGTGATATTGTTTAATAACTGAGATCCCGAGGGTTAAAAACATTCAGTCCACCATTTTAAACTCCCGTTAAACACAAAGGAAATATTGTTGCTGCTTCTTTATAATCTATAAGTTTAAAGAAAATGCATGTTTACTCACAAACACACACTTCTTAATTAATTTCCTCCTCAGTGAGCATATAGGGATAAAAGAAAACTGTAATGGCATGTTTTTCCTGCCAGTAAATTCATATTTAGCTCTTTTTTTTTTTCTTTCTCCAACTTGTTTACGTCCCAGATTGGTCCTGCTGGTGTCACTGAACAGCGCCTCCTGTATTTGTTATAGGCTGCACACGCACACACACACTCCTCTCAACCTCCAGCGACAGTAAAAAAAGGCAGCTGAGCAAATCATTCCATCTGCCAATATCTCTGAATTCTCAATTACATACATACACCGCCCTCCTCCTTCTCCTCTTTCCTCTTGGACCACAGCAGCAGGATTTAACATGCCAGAGAGGCAGACCAATGAGAGACAGACGTCTGGTCATGCACTGATGGTTCCTCCCCTTCTACCCTCCCGCTTGCCTCTCCATCCATCTTTTGATGTGGGCTGAGGCCATTTTCAGCAACATCTTCCACCTCGAGCAGGTTATAAAGGCAGAAGGAGATGCGAGATTAAAAACATCATATGCTGCAGTGTGTTAGCTCTCCTGCTACGTAATATCCTTACCCATGCAACTTGTTAATATAAATGTAAAGAACTATATTTAAAAATGTTATTTCTTTTTAAAATTTGGACCTTTTTTTAATGAGAACATGGGATCTGGTCATGGCCAGGTTTCATGCTGAGGTCCAAGCGATGATCTAAATTTTACTTCGAGGCCAAGGGAACAAGATCTGACCCAGATACAAAGACTGAGAGGAAAGGAAACAGAACAGTCTGTATCAGCTGTCGTACCTCAGACCCTTCACAAAATGAGACAAAAAAGCAGCTCATTCAATCCTCTGCCATCTGTTCTGGGGCGCTTCTGATTTTGATTTTGAAACAAATTTACCACTCTAAATTAGACCTCCTCGGGCTTTGATATATATTTGAACAGAACATTATCATTCTTTAATACAAAAGGAAAGATGCTTCTATTTTAAGCTCCTCAACCGGTGCTAATTTGACACCTTCAGGATGTTCTCTTACACCTTTTGAAGACACATCTCTGGCTTTCCATCTGCTCGTCTTTTCAAAACATGATTAGGAATATAATTAAAGTATTTGTCATGGAGGGAGGCCTAATAATTGTCAACCAGCTCACACGTTGAGGTGATGACAACTGGATCAGAGGTGTTAAAGTAACACAAACCCTCATTAAAGCCTGGAAAAGCATGGGTTACAAAAGCAAACAAACCAGAAATCACCTGCTGGTGATTTATAAGTGAGCCATGCAGCGCAGGTGTTGTGAAGTCCCCGGGATTGGAGATTTGTGTGCACAAGAGTGACCCACTGGCCTGCAGCAGGGACGACAGGCAGTAAAACTACCCCCTCCCATGTTTAATCCACCTGAAGTTTGGTGCCAGGGCTGTTTGAAACATGGGCCGGTCACCGCTGCTGGCAACAGCAGGCGCTAAGCTGCTGTCAGAGATCACAGGGGCTGATGGTGGCAGATTAATGTGCAGGTGATAATGGCCCACCTGTTCCCCCTCCCTCCAGGGATCAACAACAAGCTGCTGCTTGGCGCAAATGCATCAAAACAGTAGAAAAACTGCGAACAGGAAGGAAAAGACAGAATAGAACGGCACGTAATATGGCTGGTGATTAAACGCCCACAGTAGTGGATCAAATAAATTTCCTTGATAACCAGTTTGCTGACTAAAAAGCCCCATAAAGAAAAGCAGAACATTTGTTAGTTCGCCATTCCATCTTTTTGAAATGTTCACCTTGGGATCACCTTGTCTGAGCCGTGGCCATTCAGCTGTTTGCCTTCAGGGCGCTGCCTGCTATCCCAGATAGCGCACATACAGAGGCGCTCTTCTTTATCGTGTGTGTGTTGGTGTGTGTGATTCTCTTTGCTGGTTTGCTTTCTGCATGACTGTCTCTGTGCGTGTTTGTAATCATCACTAAGAGGCTCGTTCGGTCTTGTCTTCCCTCTGCAGATCATGGACAAGGCGCTGCTCCCATCCGTGACTCTCATCGTTGGCTGTGGGGTCTCTTCTCTCACCTTGCTGCTCCTCATCATCATCTACGTCTCCGTGTGGAAGTAAGTAACCCTACGAGCAAAGTCCAGCTGCATCACCCTCTAACATTAGAGGGTTCTACCTCTTCTTTCTGCTAGGCCCTGAACTCATCTCCTGTTTTTTTAATCTTCAGGTACATTCGCTCAGAGCGTTCTGTCATCCTCATCAACTTCTGCCTCTCCATTATTTGCTCAAATGCCCTCATTCTCATCGGACAAACCCAAGCTCGCAACAAGGTAAGGCTCTTTCCCATCCAGTTATTTTAAATGAAACTTTTCTGAAACTCTTGATGACTTACCTGTCTGCTTCATCTCGAATCCCACAGGTGGTGTGCACTCTTGTCGCCGCTCTGCTCCATTTCTTTTTCCTCTCCTCTTTCTGCTGGGTGCTGACCGAAGCTTGGCAGTCCTACATGGCTGTCACTGGTCGTCTGCGCAATCGCATCATTCGCAAGCGCTTCTTGTGCCTGGGATGGGGTAAGAAGACAAGCTTTAAAACACATCGCTTTAGTTTTCAGAGTCTTTTTCCTCTGCTTTTAATCTTGTAAGTTGTAATTTTAATACGTGTTTTCTGTCTTGCAGGTCTTCCCGCACTGGTTGTGGCCGTTTCTGTTGGTTTCACCAAAGCTAAAGGATACGGCACCGTCAACTAGTAAGTTCAAACTCATACATTTTGTTATCTTCTCCTCCATTTAATTTGAAGAGCCCTCCTCTTTAGCTCAAGCACTAATGCTATTCCTTCTCTTTCTTAGTTGCTGGCTGTCCCTTGAGGGTGGACTCCTCTACTCCTTCGTTGGTCCTGCTGCAGCTGTTGTTCTGGTTCGTATTCTAACTTTGGACATCTCAATCTGTCATGTTGCACAATCTGGTTTTAAACACATCCTTACATCCTCTCATCAATACTTCTTTTAAACAGGTGAATATGGTGATTGGTATTCTCGTCTTCAACAAGCTTGTATCCAAGGACGGCATCACTGATGTGAAACTGAAGGAAAGAGCTGGGTAGGTCTTATTGATCTTCGCTGCACATTCAAGTATTGTGTTTACGACCCTCATCGGTGCCGTAACAGGCTTATTGATCATGTACTTTGATCGCTTAGCCATATAATCGCACAAACAGCGGCTTTGACTGATCTAATGTGTGTTTTTCACCCTGCAGGGCGTCCCTGTGGAGCTCGTGCGTGGTTCTACCCCTCCTGGCCCTCACCTGGATGTCTGCTGTCTTGGCCATCACAGACCGACGCTCCGCCCTCTTTCAGATCCTCTTCGCTGTCTTCGACTCTCTGGAGGGCTTCGTCATCGTCATGGTGCACTGCATCCTGCGTAGAGAGGTGAGAAGGCCTGTTTGATCAAAGGAACGAGAGTTAATCAGTGTCTTATCTGAAGAAGAGCACGGTTAACAATTTTATGAATTCCTTGTGCCTCTGTTAGGTTCAGGAGGCTGTGAAGTGCAGAGTGGTCGACCGCAAGGATGATGGAAATGGCGACTCTGGCAGTTCTCTTCACAATGGTCACCCCCAGCATATGGTGAGTCCTTTTGGCTGATTGCCTTTTTAATGTCTTGAGTGCTTCTTGTATTTATTCTTACATGGATATATGCATGCATCAGACCCTAATATAAGTTTTTTGTTCTTTTATCTGCAGTCTGACAATGAAAAGGATGGAGATTCAAGCAGACAAGGTAAACCCCTTTCACAGACTTTCCTCTCTTACCTCTAACCGTTCTTATTTAATTTGCATTTCGCCTTGCACTTAAACCTCTGATCGTAGATAAGACGGCATACGTTTATTGATCTGTTTTTCTTTTAAGAAGCCCGGTTCTTTATTAATTTTCAGTCTCTTTTATAAATTTTCCTCAAAAGGAATGAAGAGCTCATCTGAAGAAAAGATGCCCCCTCCTCAGCTGCCCCTTCCCATGGGCTCCAACTTCCACACCCTGCCATCCAAGGGCAGCCACATGCAGGCGGTTCCCGAGTACTCCAGCCACACGCTGACCCTGAAGAGGGAGAAAAGCCGGCTGGCAGGAGGAGTTGACCCGTCCTGTGGGAAACCTGTGTACGTCTGCGAGGGGGAGCTCTTCCAGCAGCTGGATGCGGACCTCGCCCTAGCTCAAGCCGAGGGCAGCCTCTCCGACGGCAGCGGCTACGTCATCATGCCCAACACCACATCCACCCTGAAGTCCAAGCCCAAAGACGACCCGACGAAATACAACATCTGTGTGGATCAGCTGCCCCAGGCCAGACTCATGCACCTTGGCGGGCCCTTCGCCGAGCCCCAGGCGGCCTTTGGGATGTCGTCGATCCCTCCCGACCAGGTCAGCGTGTCATACTCTGAGAGAGACTCGCCGATCCAGAACATCCACAACATGTCCAGCGAGTCTCACATCACCCACAGCAGCCTGGAGAACACCTTCGAGTCCATGAACTCAATGATGTCCAAGAGCGAGACCATCTCCACTCTGTCCATGAGCTCCTTGGAGGTAAGAAGAGATGCACTTATGTTACACATTCATCCAAAAATGATTTAAGATGTGTCTAAATATAATTATTTCTGTCTCTCTTCTTGTTTGCAGCGACAAAAATCCCGTTACGCTGAATTGGACTTTGAGGTGAATATCGTTGACTTACTCTCTGTGAAAATCATTTAACTCCCATTGGACGTGCTTTACGCGCCTCGCAGCAAGCACTAATTTTGAGAACGTTTTTCTGTCTTCTATAGAAAATAATGCACACCAAGAAACGCCACCAGAACATGTTCCAGGACCTCAACAGGAAGATGCATCACGCTGAGAAGGACAGAGAGTCTCCTGCTTCTGACAGCAAGGTAACAATCTGCCATACACTCATCGCTTATTTCCATCTACATTTATTGTCAATAGATGCAAAAAAAATACAAGGTATAAAAAAATACAGAGGCAATAAAGTAAAAATGACCATAAAAAAGGTGCAACAGCATATTGAGCTATTATCATTGGTACCTTGAGGTCATTTGAATAAAAATGTATTTTCTTCCTTCTTCCAGTCTGTGAGATGGAGTGTGTCTTCTGGAGGAAGTGACAAAACAAACCACAGCGTGAGTGTTTATATCCAACCTCACACTTATTCCTCATAAGAAAGACACACTATTAGTTACATATGCCTCAAGGAAGAGTAATTCATCTAAAAAGCCAAATTATTCTCATCACTTCCTCATTTTTCAAGTCAGAAATTTGATCAGAGTTAATGAGAGGCACCAGAACTAAAGTGCCTTTTGTTTGGGTTCCAACAGGACAAACAGCAGGCTCCAATGGAGAGGCCATGGGAAGGAGTCCGGGGAATACCTCAGTCGCCCCCTGCATGGGTGCGTAAAGACCTGGAGCCCCTAGCTGCCTCGCCTCTGGAGCTGCACTCTGTAGAGTGGGAGAAGGCGAGCACCACCATCCCCCTGGTGGGACAGGACATTATCGACCTGCAAACGGAGGTCTGAGGGGGAGGAAGGGGGCTGGAGAAGCCACCCAATTTCACCTCAGTCACCTTTTTTGGTTTGAGCATGAGATCCTTTATGGATAGTGTAGAGGAGCCAAAAGAGGGTGGAGAGTAGGTCCTCGAATCATCTTCAAAACCTCAGCCTGAGCAAGAAGGCGGGGAGAGAAGGAATGATGGAGGAGAGGGGTTGAAAGCAAAAGTACTGTTGGATGTAGCTTCTCGGTGCGGACTCTTATCAGAGTGCTTTGGAAGTCACAAGGGTTAATGGAGCGATCAGTGGCGTCCATGGACCGGGACTGTCTGCGGCTCCATTAATGCTTCGCCGGGAGCTTCCTGGACCCTGCAGCCTGTGTTTCAGAAGATGTGCTCGACATGTCTGTGCTTCTTTAGTTCCTTCAAATCCACTTTGGAGAAATGAATAAATGACAATAAACGCTGCGTCCTCCCTGCTTCTCGGGAGGGCCGGCCTGAACTCTTGGCTGCTTGTCTTGCAGCCAAAATTAACTTCCACAACAAGACAAGGCACGAAGGGACTGGGACTCGTTTTATGCTCCAGTGTTGTGCACTTTGGTAGATCGGCACTCACTTTTTTGTTTTTGTGCAGTGGATTCCTTTACCACATCTGTTATTTTATTTAATTTTCTCAGTTTCTGTGTGTATTAGCATAAGAAATTGTCACTCCAGAGCAGAAAAAAGACTCATTCTGCCGAGAAAATAACCCCTCTTGTGAAGGGCAAGCTTAATCCTGATGATAGTGCATCCACTGTCTGTTTTATCACCACGGTTATTATTATTCTTGTGACTATTGCCACTATAATTCTCAATATTAAGAGTAGAGTGTCTATTTTAATATGTTTATTTTTCATAACTGTCAGGCACAAGATTAATTGTTTGCGTGCTGGTACCTGCAGCATAATTCTCCAAACACTAAAAAGGATTCAGTGCATCCATAATGTGTTGTGAGCCAATACGGACTGCATCGGGACAAACATGCGGAGTGGTGACGTGGTTAGCTAATCAACAATTCCTGGTTGTGACAGTATTCAGCTTTGATACCAAAACACCAGCACCAGGACTGAACACAGACTCTCGTACAGGAAGAGCAGTGCATTCTGGGTAAACGCCTGGCTGGAACTGGCACAAGATGCAGGCTCTTCCATGTCGTACATGTGAACTTTACTGGAGATCAGCGAGGCCTTTCATCGTCGCCCTTTTGTTTCTCAGCCTTGCAGGACTCTTGGACTGAGCAGAGACTCCTGATACCAATAGGGGGTCCTGGAAAAATCCTTCAACACATTTGTGTTTTCAGCCATCAGTGTGAAATAGTGCAATATGATGGGTGCTTGATGCTCAAGCAAGACTGATATTATGATTTAGGCAGAGTTTTTTCCTACCGATATTTCCACACTTTTATACCATCTTCCATATATTTACAGAGCACATAGATGCTTTATGAGAATAATGTATGACAAATTTGTATTAGAAAATCAAATGAATTTATTGGTTAGAGATTGTTTTTGCACAAGACTCCATATTTGGAGCTCTCTGTGACCAGTAGATTATTGTATTTCTACTACAAGCATTATATTGAGTGAATGATAAGATTATTTCCTACATGTGCTTAGGATGTTTGTTATTACTCTCAGCTGTACGGCGATGGGTAATAGAACCTCGTGTCTTCTGTAGCAGTGTGTTGCCATGACTCAACACTCTACCAGCCAATTCCCTCATCCGTTACAACTTCCTCTGTACTCTGAACCCTGAAAACCTGACTCGTTACTTGTATTGAACACCTGATAGTATTTTCACGTCGAGACATTGTTTTCTATGTCCTGTTTTACCCGTGTAAATGTACAGTTTTCACAGCACAAAAATGAATATGACTTCTTTCTAATAAAACAAATCTATATTACTTAACGTGAACGTTTGTGATCATTTTTTGACGGCGTGTTTAGTTTAATTTTTGAATATGTTAAAAAAATACAGCATGAAGCATAATGTCAAAACTTCTTGTTTTACATATTCAAGGGAATGGGTAGAAGTATAAATGTAACAAAATTCCCACTCCTTAGCCACTTATATAATCTTACATTTATTACATGTATAATCCATACATATAACAACTAAACCTTATTTAAGTCATCAATATAGTATCTAAGCTAACTACAGTAGATAAACAATTATAATTTATTTAATTTCACCAACAACAAAAAAAACTAACATCAATAACAACAACAACAACAATAACAGAATAATAATATTATATATTATAGCCAGCAATAATCATATGATAATTTGAACAGTTTTATGTTTGGACATTGTCTAAGTTCAGTTTTCAAATTATTCCACACTGCAGTTTGACTCCACTTCCTGATACATAAAAGATTTTTTTTTTCTAGTAGTTCTGAATTTGCATATTTTAAACTGTGATTCCTCCCTTAACTTATAAATGTGCACATATCTGATGTGTGGTTTCCAGTTGAGTTTATCATCAATAATGACACCTACAAATTTGTTTTCATGAACCCTTACAATATTCACCCCATCTATTTGTTTTTGAATTTTTGTATGTGATTGACAGTTCCCAAATAACATTATTTTTGTTTTGTTTAGGTTCAAGGACATCAAAACACATTTTTTAAAGTTTGTTCAATTCATCAGTTACATCCTTTAACAGTTGCTCCATGTCATCTCCAACACACAAAAATGATTTTATCATCGGCAAATAGTGTGCTTTTCATTATCTCAGGTACAATGCATAGATCATAGGTTATAAACAGTTTGGGACCCAGGACTGACCCCTGAGGAACCCCACAATCAATGTCCAAATGTTGTTTCACAACCTTTTTGATAATCGCTCAACAGAACGACTTCTGTTTGAGAGTCAAGTTTGCGCTTGACTTTGATTCCTAAAACATATTAAAAAGTATCTAAAAATAAGATAAGTGTCAAACAAGACATTATTTTAAGACTCGGCTGCTCCCTCGCCAAATATAGACGTGATTTGCAGGTTCACAGAAAACTAATCTTCTAAGTTGATAAAAGAGTTCTATTTCCATCTTTTAAATAGAGGCAAATCATTACCAAGAAGAGGAAAAAAAAGACTTGTGAAGTTGAATAATGAGAAAATACATTTTGGCAGAATCATATTTAAAAATAGGAAAGGTTTAGCACCTGAGATTTAGCCTATTCTTCATCTCCAATGTTGCCTCCCTGCTCTCTGTTCTCTCCCTAATCAGTTTTTGTTCTTTGTTTTAATTCGACCGGTGCACCATAATTTAGCTGCAAGGCGCAAGCAAGAAGAGATTAACATGATCCATTTGTGCAGCGCTGCTCATTCTCTGAGGTCACCTGGAGTGCAGGCCAGCCGCAGTGCAAATGGTGCTTTACCTCATGTTCACTCAGTGTTTGCTGCTACATCACATATATACGCTTATTTGAACATTCTGTGCTAATTTATTCTTTCACCACAACCCATCGCTGTGAACATCTGTGCAGCCTGTCACTGTTGATGATTCAGGGAACTAATGCTGGAGAGATTTTTTTTTTAGCTTCTCTGTGCTGTGGACCCTCATTTCTATTTCTTTCATGTCATGAGCTGTTGAAAGTTGCAATCAGTGAGGGAAAGAACAGGCTGGCTAAAAACTGAACAGATTTGCATTCTGATTTGTAGTGGGTAAAAACATCGCCCTGATAAAGTAAAGGTGGCTACTAATTAAAATAAAGGCTCTAGCGTTTCTTAAAACTCTGCCTTTCATGCCAGAGTTTTAGATTAAGATCATCTTATGAAGAAAAACAACAGACTTGTTGCCATTTTGGTCACACTTTGACATAATCTGTCCTTTTGCCTGTTTTTCTTTGTGTTTCTATTGTCTTCATTTCCTTTCCTGCTCCTCGTGTCATGTGTCATTCTTCACCCACTCTTCAGTCTGTCTCTCCAGACACTCATCACTCACACCACTTGCCAATCACTAATCATCCCAGGTGCTCTCATCTCTCGCTCTACCGCTGCCTTATTTCAACCTCTTCTGTTCACCACAATAATGTCCACTCATTGATCTGTAAATCTACAGACGTCCCAGTCCTCCTCAGTCTGCCTTGTTCTTGTTTGCCCCATGCTCGTGCACGTTTTTGCTGCCTCACCAGCCTTTTGTTTTGTTTAGTGAATTCATTTTAATTTATCTCCTCCTGTCCTTGCTTGCTTGCGTTTGGGTCTAAACTTCAAGGATCGTAATGAGCTTTAAAACACAACTCCATGCAGTCATGCAAGTGTGTTGTGACTGGCTCTCAGCTACTACCACAACAGATTTTAGCTCATTATCTGTTAAACTGACTGAGTTATAATCATTTTTAGGTTGACCAAGGTCATTTAGTCGTGGCAGCAATCTTGAAATGGACTGACTGCAAACATAAATGAGGTGGACATACATCCATTCTTTAATGATTTAAAATGTTATAACTTCCACTTCATGGGATATTTTGCTAACAGACAGTCTAACCGTTAATGAGTAGCACTTGGAGTGTATTTGGTGGATGACCCTCAGCCATAATCAGAAATTTGTAAAACAACAACTGAATTAGAGCCATTTTCAGTGTTTTTACAGCCATTTTAACATGGACTGGCTCTAAAAGTTATTCAGATATAGCTAAACATCCATTAATAATTACCTAAATGTTTCACTAAAAACTCTTCCAGTTGCTCCTGAGATATTTTACTAACAGAGAGTTGTAGTTACAGGCAAAATTTTAAACAAAGCTCTTGCGTTCAGTTATCTTGAGTAAAATCAGTTTGACAGAGTAGATGTTCATTGCAGCTAATGCGACAGTAGCAGACCCTAAATGTCACAGCGTGCTCGTTGATTTTGTGGCCAACCAGCAAACAGTGTCACCCTGAACCACAAAACTCCCGTGGAGGGACAACAAACCCATGAGCACTTACATTGTGTTGGGAATCACTCTGTCAACTGCAAACACACCAGATGTGTTAACTTAAAATCTGCTGGGTTACAGCATGTTGTGGTTTTGAAGGTCAGATTAACTGTGGCAGCCAACTTGATTTGAATTAACTCTAAAAGTTTTCATGTTTGTGTGCATACATTAATTGTTTTCTGCAAGTTTTATTAAAATTTGTCCACGGGTTCATGAGATATTTTGAAAAAGACAAACACAAACAAGCAAAAGCATTAGTCTCCACTTCACCTTTCAGTGGCGGGCTATAAATATAGGTCAAAACAGACATATTTTCTCATCTAATTCACCAGATC